ATGGCCGCGGCGGACGCCCCCTTGCCGGGTGCAGCGGCAGACGGCCTCTTGCGCACTGGCGCGGCGGACGGCCTCTTGAGAACCACAGACTTCTTCTTCGCGGCGGGCCTCACCTTCAGGACGTGCTTCTTGATGGCGGTCTTGCGCACCCTCTTCATCGACCCCTTCGCCGCTGCTGGCCTCCTGCGCACGGCGCGCTTCTGCCTCTCCTCGTCATTGCATTTCGTGAGAACTTTCTCGTGTCCGTCCCCGACGAGCACAGTGATCTTCTTCGGACACGGATCGGGGAACACGTTCCTGTGGTAGTAGCTGTCCAACTTGGAGAAGGTATCGTCGGTGATCTCCTTGCCAATGATGATGCCGCGGTGCTCTTTGATCGGTTCCATCTCCTGCACAGCGATCAGGTACATCAGGGCGTCGAGGTGGAGCTTCCTGTAATCGGTCACGAATTCTTTGCCGTACCCGTCCTCAGCCTTGTCCGAGAAGGTCTCCTTGGTGACCCAGTCGATGCCGCGAGCGGTGGTGAAGGAACGGAACATGAGCTTCTCGTGGTACCTCAAGTAGCGCATGGTGAACGCCCTCTGGTTGCTCACGAAAACAACCCCCGACTGCTCGAAATCCGCCAGCGTCGCCGTATTGACCTTGTCGCCGCCGACCCACATGAAGTTCGGCCCGTAGGTGATCTCGCAAGTTTTGTTCGTGCACTTCCACGTCCTCACCGAGATCTCCGTGGTGCAGTGGAGGTCGCACAGCCTGCAGGAGATGTCGGAACGAGATGGCATGCCCGTGCTTTGCTTCAACTTGGCACCGCAGTGGGCGCACTCCCACAAATGCGTCTCGAAGGGGCCCTCTGTGTCCACAGCCTGCTGCAGACCAGGTCCTGGTTGGAACAGATCATCGGCACCCGCGGCTGGCATCATGTACGCGTCGTCCCCGTCAGTCGGCAAGCCCGCGTCCGCATGCACCGTCTTCAAGGAAAACCACTTCAAACCTCTGCCCTCCGCGAGCGTCTCCAGTTCGGCCATGCGCAACTGCATCTCCACTGAAGGAGCCGTCGGGTCCCAGAGCCCCACGCAACCGCCCTCCAAGATCCTGACGCCGTGGCAGTGCGCAGGCGCAGGCGCTGGCTGAACCTCAATGACGCCGTACACAGCGCCCTCGGGATTGTCGCGGCGGAAGACGTTGTCCATAGTCTCCTTGGTGAACTGAGGGATCTTTGTCGCATCGCGCTGGGAATGGTCCAGTTCGGATTCGTTGAACTCCTTGACCGTCATGGTCGCGCTCTCCTCGTCGAGCGCGGTCTTGGGAGACAGCTGTGCCCAATCAGCCACCGAGACGATGCAATTGACCACCTGGCGTTCGCCGCGCCCCCTCCGAACGACCGCCGTTCGTGAGTCGCGAAGCACGGCCCTTGCGAAGCGAACGTGCTGGTCCACGCGCGGCCACGACTTTATGTGGAATTGTACACCTGCGGCGGCGCTCGCCTCGGCCACGGCTACCGCCACCATCGCTTCTCCTAGGAAGTCCACCACCTTCGCGAGGAGCCCGTCGAAGAGGAGGATCTCGCTGATGCTTCCTGCCGTCCGCACAGCGCCCAGCAGAATCATCAACGCAGTGTTCTCCATGTGCGAGAGGATGGCCGCGATCCTGCTGAAGACGGGGCTCGGGCGGTCGGCGTAGAGCACGTTGTACTCGGCGAACTCCGCGCAAGCGAGCAACAAGTGGGCACCGTCGATAATCTCGCTTGAGAGCTTCAGTATCCACGGAAGCTGCGTGGCCGGCTGAGAACCGAAGGAGGAGGGAGGGGGAACAGGGGAGGGGGGAGGGAGGTCAGGACGAGGGTTAGGAGGGAATGGGAGGAGATGAGGGGTAGAGGGAGGAGAGTTAGAGGAGGGAGGAGAGGAGGATAGTTAGAGGAGGGAAGGGGAGGAGGGAGAGGAGGGAGAGTAGGAGGGGCAAAAAAAAAAACCCCGAGCATGGTCCTCGAAATTCCAGCCCCATGCCGTTTGGCACAGGGCTGGAGTTTCGAGAACCATGCTCGGGGGGGCATTTGTTGTTGTGGAGAGGCTGGCTGAATGATGGCATAGCTTAAGAGGGTAAGTAGATAGGGAGAGTGAGAGTCACAGAGCGAGAGAGAGAGAGAGTGAGAGAGAAGAGAGAGCAAGAAAGAGAAGATAAGGATAATGATGAAGAGAAGGGTTCGGAAAGCCATAAAACCCCTCTGGAACCCCGAGGGGCTCCACAATCCCCCAGCCTCGAGGAGGAGGGGAAGGGGGAGGAAAAGGAGGAGGGGGAGGAGGAGAAGGAGGAGGAGGAGGAGGAGGAGGAAGAGGAGGAGGAGGAGGAGAGGAGGAGGAGGAGGAGGGGAGGAGGAGGCGGAGGAGGAGGAGGAGGAGGAGGAGGAGGAGGAGGAGGGAGGAGGTGGAGAGGAGGAGGAGGAGGAGGAGGAGGAGGGGAGGGGGAGGAGGAGGAGGAGGAGGAGGAGGTGGAGGAGGAGGAGGAGGAGGGAGGAGGAGGAGGAGGAGGAGGAGGAGGAGGAGGAGGAGGAGGAGGCGATGGAGGAGGAGGAGGAGGAGGAGGAGGAGGAGGAGGAGGCGGAGGAGGAGGGAAGGAAAAGGAGAATGAGGAGGAGGAGGGGAGGAGGAGGAGGAGGAGGAGGAGGAAGGAGGAGGAGGGAGGAGGAGGAGGAGGAGGAGGGCGGAGGAGGAGGAGGAAAAGGAGGAGGAGGGAGGAGGAGGATGAGGAGGAGGAGGAGGAGGAGGGGGGAGGAGGAGGAGGAGGAGGAGGAGGAGGAGGAGGGAGGAGGAGGCGGAGGAGGAGGAGGAGGAGGAGGAGGAGGAGGAGGAGGAGGAGGAGGAGGAGGGAGGAGGAGGAGGAGGAGGAGGAGGAGGGGGAGGACAGGAGGGAGGAGGAGGAGGGAAGGAGGAGGAGGAGGAGGAGGAGGAGGAGGAGGAGGAGGAGGAGGAGGAGGAGGAGGAGGAGGAGGAGGAGGAGGAGGAGGAGGAGGAGGAGGAGGAGGAGGAGGAGGAGGAGGAGGCGAGGAGGAGGAGGAGGAGAGGAGGAGGAGGAGGAGGAGGAGGAGGAGGACAAGGAGGAGGAGGAGGAGGAGGAAAGGAGAGGAGGAGGGAGGAGGAGGAGGAAGGAGGAGGAGGAGGAGGGAGGAGGAGGAGGAGGAGGAGGGAGGAGGGGGCAACAGAAGATGCGGCGAGCTCGGGTTTGAAATGCTGCGCCAAGCTGTGCGGCGCGTTCCGTCAGTGCGGCCTGACTGGCTGCAGGGAACGACGGCCCCCCTCGGGCACGCCGGGGGAGTCGGGGTCTGAGCCCTGAGTGCATCGCCCTTGAGGTGTTCTACCATTGTGGAGGACGATCAATGGAGAGGAACCATGTTGCCAAATACTTTCCAGGTGTGTTAAACATGTATCATACATGCAACATAACATGTTATAACTCATGCTTATGACATGTTCCGACATTTCAAACACATGTTTAATTCGATGATAGGACTGTTAGGGTGTCCATTGTCGTGGCATCCACAATTCTACCAGGCGGGCGACGCGATCTGCCAGCTCAGCAAGGAGAAGTGCCTGGGTCGAGCTCGCGGGGAAGCGGTGCACCTTTGCCGCCAAGGTGGCGAGAAGTCGAACGTCCGTGGGGTCGCGTGCGCGGGGGACGTGTGCTGGCAGCGTCGCAACACGTACCAGACGAAGCGCGAAGCCTCGGGCGCGTGTTCCGCGTCGGCGTACTGCCCTATCCTATATCCACGACGCGGATGCGACAGTCCAAGACACGGCCGAGGAGCGCCAGGTGCAAGTGAAAAAGGCCGAGGAGAGGAGCGCGCGACCATCGCGGGCATCGTTCGGGAGGGAAGACGCCCCCGCTGGACGCGGTCGCCCACCCCGCCCTGGCCGACCCATGGAGTGAGGTCCGAGAGCGAGGAGCCCGCCGTACACCCAGAGGCGCCTGGGTGGGCCCCGCGGGGCGACGATTCCCGGGCGGAGTTGGGGCCAGCCGTGCGGCGGCGGAGTCGTGGAGGCGTTGGGGCCCACTACTCCTGGGAGGGAGCTCCTGACGAACTGCTCGACCCGCGGTCCCCCCTTCGACGTCGCGGAGAGGCTCTGACAGTCCGAGGGCTCCGACAACTTCAGCGACGGCGGCAACGCCATCGACGGGCCCTCGACCGCCCCTGTGGGGGGGGAGTGCGGGAGCTTCATGGAGATCGGAGAGCTGCGGGGCCGCAGGAGGTGGGAGCCCATCGTGAGCGAGCGCCCGGGAATGAGCCAGGTGGTGGTTCGGGAGGAGAGTTGGGCGGCGGCCACGCGGCAGTCGGCCGGTCCTTCGCAGCAGCCCCTTGACTCCGAGGAGGTGCAGAGGTGGGGCCGGTGGCACAGTGGCGCATCACATCGGTGCCTGTGGGAAGCGAGCGAGGCCGCCCAGGGCGCCCTCCGGCGGCCATGACCAGGTCGTCGTCAACCCTGCGCGCGGGCCGCGACGCGACGCAGGAGAGGAGCCGGAAGTGTCGGGGGTGGACAGACCCCCCACAAGTGACACGTCGATTAGTGAATTGTCCGTTTTCGGCTCTCGAGAGGGCGCCGTGGCCGTTATTTTCCAGGCCTGCGCCCGCCAGGTTTGGGCCTCAGGTCGTTTTCATTACACCGCGTTTTACTAAAGGGGGGTCTGTCCATCCCCGAAAGTAGGGGAAGGCCCGAGGAGGCGCGGCAGGAGTCGGCCACGCGCAGAGTGGGGTAATGGAGAGGGGGGCAGGCTTCGCAGAACCACCTCTGCCTCTGAGAAGGCGCGGGCCTCGCCTGTAGGGGTGTGAGGCCGGCGCCCTCTGAGGAGCAGCCTCCTTCGAAGCAGCCTTCCCCTCTCCCCGGACCACCCTCTGCGCGCCGCCAGAGGGCCAGAGGAGAGCGGGGCCCGGAGCCAGACCGCAGTTCGGCGTCGACGTTGAGCGGCTCGGGCAATGAAGCGGCAGAGCCGGTGCCAAATGGAAAGGGCTTGCCTTCGCAGGGATCAGCACTGGCCGTGGGGTTGGCCCCCACGGACCCGAGCTTGCGAGACCTCGATAGTCGAGGAGGGGAGCGCGCGAGGCGCGAGGCGTGAGGAGGAAACTCGGCGGGAGGAGCGCCGTGCTCAGCGAGCAGGCGGGTGGAGTGGCGCGCGCGTAGAAACCCAGAACCGCTGGGCGGGAGGAGTTGCGAGGCGACCATGTCTGTTGGCAGGTGTCCGAGGTGCGGAGCTGCGGCTGGGAAAGAGGGGGCGCTGCGGCGGTGGCCCAAGCAACGAGGAGAGTCGCGCTCGAGGTCAGCCTCGGGAATTGGGCGCGCGAGGGCCTGCACGAGTTTTTGTTTCCCCCCCAGGGGGTAGAACGCAGCGTGTTTAGTTTGAGGAGGTTTTTCTCCCCCCCAGGGGGTCGAACGCAGCGTGTTCAGTTTGAGGAGGCAAGCAGCAGCAGCAGCCTCTCCCTCCTCGCAGCCAGGCTCAGGAGAGGCGGCGCCTCCGGGGCCTGACCACCGGACCCCAGGGGGGGGGAGCCTCCACGGGGGCCGAGGGCCCCCGAGGAGGTCCCCGGAGAGTGGCCAGCCAGGGGGGGAAGGAAGAGCCCGAGGAGGAGGAGGAGGAGGAGGAGGAGGAGGAGGAGGAGGAGGAGGAGGAGGAGGAGGAGGAGGAGGAGGAGGAGGAGTAGGAGGAGGAGGAGGAGGAGGAGGAGGAGGAGGAGGGGAGGGGGAGGAGGGAGGAGGAGGAGGAGGAGGAGGAGGAGGAGGAGGAGGAGGAGGTAGGGGAGGAGGAGGAGGAGAGGAGGAAGAAGAGCCCGAGGGGGTGGCTTCGCGCCCGGCGCCGCGGCCTCCGCGGCCCGGGCGGCCGTGCGGCGCGGGATTTTGGCGGGTGGGCCGAGGGGGCGGCGCCGCGCGCCTGCCCCCTCCGCGGGCAGGCGGGCAGGTGCCTGGCGCGCGCCCTGCCGCTCCTCGGGAGGGCACGGGCTGGGGGTGCCCGTTCTCTCGCCCCCCTTCCGTCTGCTGCCCATGTGGGCTCGAGTTCGTTCCCAGCCATCCTGTGGTGTTGGGTCCTCGTTTTGAAGAGGCTCCTCGGGAGGGCACTGGCTGGGGGGGCCCGTTTTTTGTTTTGTTTTTGTTTGTTCTCTCTCTCTCTCTCTCGCCTGTCCTCGTCCTCCCCCCCCCTTCCGTCTGCTGCCCCTTTGGGCTCGAGTTCGTTCCCAAGCATCCTGTGGCGTTGGGTCCTCGTTCTGAAGAGACGGTGCGGCGCGTCTCCGCCTTCCTCCTTCCTCCTTCCTCCTGCCTCCTTCCTCCTCCTCCTCCGCCTCCTCCTCCTCCGCCTCCTCCTCCTCCTCCTCCTTTTCCTCCTCCTCCTCCTCCTCACTCCTCCCCCTCCTTGCCTCTGCCCTCCGCGTGTCACCCCCCACGCGTTTCGCGGCCCCACAGGGAGCTCCGCCGAATGTGGCACGACCGCGCCCATTCTGGCGCACCCCTTACACAGTTCGTGGCCCCATGGCCCATGGGGAGCTCCACCGAAGGCCCCAGTGGCAGGGTTCGCATGGCACCACCGCCCCATTCTGGCGCACACCTCACACGGATCGTGGCACCACAGGGAGTTCCACGGAAGGCCCCAGTGGCAGGGTTCGCATGGCACCACGGCCCCATTCTGGCGCAAGCCTCACACGGATCGTGGCACCACAAGGAGTTCCACGGAAGGCCCCAGTGGCAGGGTTCGCATGGCACCACCGCCCCATTCTGGCGCACGCCTCACAAGAATCGTGGCACCACATGGAGTTCCACGGAAGGCCCAAGTGGCATGGTTCGCATGGCACCACCGCCCCATTCTGGCGCACGCCTCACACAGTTCGTGGCCCCACAGGGAGCTCCGCCGAAGGCCCCAGTGGCAGGGTTCGCACGGCACCACTGCCCCATTCTGGCGCGCGCCTCACACAGTTCGCGGCCCCACAGGGAGCTCCGCCGAAGGCCCCAGTGGCAGGGTTCGCATGGCGGCCCCGCCCCATTGTGGCGCACCCCTCGCACGGTTCGTGGCCACATAGGGAGCTCCGCCGAAGGCTCCAGTGGCAGGGTTCGCATGGCGGCCCCACCCCATAGGGAGCTCCACCGAAGGCTTCAAGGGCAGGGTTCACATGGTACCACCGCCCCATGTTGGCGCACCCCTCACACGGTTCGTGGCCTCATAGGGAATTCCACCGAAGGCCCCAGTGGCAGGGTTCGCACGGCACCACCGCCCCATTCTGGCGCACCCCTCACACGGTTCGTGGCCCCACAGGGAGCTCCACCGAAGGCCTCAGTGGCAGGGTTCGCATGGCGGCCCCGACCCATTCTGGCGCACGCCTCACACGGATCGTGGCACCACATGGAGTTTCACGGAAGGCCCCAGTGGCAGGGTTCGCATGGCACCACCGCCCCATTGTGGCGCACCCCTCACACGGATCGTGGCCCCATAGGGGGAGCTCCGCCGAAGGCCCCAGTGGCAGGGTTCGCATGGCACCGCCGCTTCGATTCCGGCACACCCCTCACACGGTTCGTGGCCCCACAGGGAGTTCCACGGAAGGCCCCAGTCGGATGGTTGGTACCGCGCTCAGCGTCACTAGAGTTCAGAGCCTGGAAAGTCGTCACTCTCGCAAATTTTCGAAGCGTCGTTGTCAGCGGTTTTTGTCTCCAACCATCCTGTGGTCTGGGGTCCTTCTTTTGAAGAGACAGCGCCCGCGTCCTCCTTCCTTCCTTCCTTCTCCTCCCGCTGCCTCCCCTCCCCCTCCTTCCTCCCTTGTGTTTCAGCCACCCAGTACAACGCTTCGTGGCCTCATAGGGAGCTCCACCGAAGGCCCCAGTGGCAGGGTTCGCATGGCGGCCCCACCCCATTCTGGTGCACCCCTCACACGGTTCGTGGCCCCATCACACGGTTCGTGGCCCCATAGAGAATTCCACCGAAGGCCCCAGTGGCAGGGTTAGCATGGCGGCCCCATTGTGGCGCACCCCTCACACACGGCTCATGGCCCCCCAGGGAGCTCCACCGAAGGCCCCAGTGGCAGGGTTCGCATCGCGACCCCGCCCCATTGTGGCGCACCCCTCACGCGTTTCGTGGCCCCATGGGGAGCTCCACCGGAGGTCCCAGTGGCAAAGGCCCCAGTGGCAGGGTTTGCATGGCGGCCCCGCCCCATTGTGGCGCACCCCTCATACGGTTCGTGGCCCCACAGGGAGCTCCACCGAAGGCCCCAAAATGGCAGAGTTCGCATGGCGGCCCCACCCCATTCTGGTGCACCCCTCACACGGTTCGAGGCCCCATAGGGAGCTCGCTCCACCGAAGGGACCCAGTGGCAGGGTTCGCATGGCGGCCCCGCCTCATCTTGGCGCACACACACACACACACACACACACACACACACACACACACACACACACACGGTTCATGCCCCCCCGGGGAGCTCCACCGAAGGCCCCAATGGCAGGGTTCGCATGGCGGCCCCGCCCCATTGTGGCGCACCCCTCACACGTTTCGTGGCCCCATGGGGAGCTCCACGGAAGGCCCCAGCGGCAGGGTTCGCATGGCGGCCCCGCCCCATCTTGGCGCAAACCGCACACGGTTCGTGGCCCCACAGGGAGTTCCACGGAAAGCCCCAGTGGCAGGGTTCGCATGGCGGCCCCGCCCCATTTTGGCGCACCCCTGCAGTTGTCACACTTGCATATGGTTGGGTCCTTCGCCAGGATAATTCTCGGGGCCTTCCCCTCCCAGCCCTCCCGCTCATCGGGAGGCCGCGTACGTTCTGCGGCATCGGCTACAACATCAACGTTTTAGCCGTCGCCGCCACCGATCGTCTCACATAGTTTCCGCTCTGCGTTGTTTGTCGTGCACGCCCCCAGCTCTGTTCAAACGGCGATTACGTAGGTGTCTGTAAATTTGCGCTGGTACCCGTGTCAATGTTGACCAGTTGATGTTGTGGCGTGGGCTCGGCGAGCGGCGTGGCACCCAAGGGTCCAGCATGGCCGTGGCATGACGAGCAGCCGCGTGCCTTTTCAACGCACACGAGAAAGAGTGACTCAGGAGGAGAAAGAACACACAGACACAATTCGGACGAAGAGAGCTGTGCACATGCACCGATCCTGGCAAGGCCCATCCTTGACCCAGGATCGGTGCATATGCTTTCCTGGCCACGGCAGGAAGGCATATGCACCGATCCTGGGCGCAGGATGGGCCTGGCAAGAATCGGTGTATGTGCATCGTTCTCTTTCCTCTAACAATTAATCGTCGATTCCCCCAAAAAATATGGAAACTATTGAAAGTGGGGGGGAAGACAAAGACCTAGAAACTATAGGAACACATGGGGCATCCTGTTTTTTGTGTCCACTTATTGCGTGTTCCAGGGCCCCTTTCAGCGACGCCCACGCGTGCGTCTCCCGAGGCTGAGCGGCCGGGCTGCCTGGTCCGCCGCCGACGAGGTGGCGGACATCCTCGACGGAGGGGAGACAGGGGCCCCGGTCGGACAGCTGGAGCAGGTCCTCGACGGAGCGAGGGCGAATTGTCTCCCCCAACGGTGTTCCTTTCCCCCCCCCCCTCGACGGAAGGGAGACAGGGGCAGGGCGGACATCCTCGAGGAGGGGGCATCTTCGACGGAGGGGAGACATCCTCGACGGAGGGGAGACAGGGCCCAGGGCGGACAGCTGGAGCCGGTCCTCGACGGAGCTGGTATCGCTCGGACGTGTGCACTTTTTTCGCGGCGGGGATTCATAAGGAGCATCCTGGATCATCCTGCGGAAAACAAATACGCACGAAACCGAAAAAAAAGACAGGGAATGGACGTCCGAGCGATGGCCAGGAACCGTCTCTCCCAACGGTGCTCCTTCCCCCCCCTCTTGTCTTTCCCCCATTCTGTCCCCTCTTCCGCCACATCCGAGTGCGCAGCTCCCCGTTGCGCCCTCCCGGCGGTGGCGAGCTCTGGCTTGACGTGTCGCGCCGCCGGTTTTGATCCACCACGCTGCGGCGCGACGCGTTATCCAGCTCCGAATCCCCAAGCGTCAACGCCTCGATGTTGTTCCCCGCCTGCCGCCCCGCGGGGCGGATCGACACGCCATGCCGCTCGTATGACGTAGCGTGTCCCCACGGCCAGCGCCGCGACACGCTAGTTAAGAGTTGCTGACCGCACCACTGCCCCTCCTGTCATCGTTTCCCTCCACTTCCCCCATGATCCCCTCGTCCTCCAACTCCTTCGCGGCATCCCCCCCGTCCTTTTCCTGGGCCCTCTCCCTATAGGCCTTCAGGTGTCGTGCGACGGCTGCCGAGTCCCAGGGCCCAGGGGGACTGGAGAGCGTGGCAGAGCAGAGCAGCGCAGCGGCGAGCAGATCCTTCTCATCCTGCTCGTTGTCCCCTCCCCCCCTGCTCCTCTTCATCATCCCCCTTCCCCTCCTCTTGCTCCCTCCCCCCCACTGTCATAAAGTCGGGGCGCTGAAAAAGGAACCCTTTTCGTTGGGGAGGGGTTCCGTGTTCCTTGATTGTTTCACAGCTTGCCTCGGACTTTCCTGATGTTTTCGATCGGAAATCGAAGTTTAACTTATGGAAAAAAGGGGCCTCGTTCCTTATTTAGGGTTCCTTAGGTTAACGCCCCGACTGTAGTCCAGCCCCCGAGCCCTGTGGGATCCATCCGGAGCAGGCTTGCGTCCCAGACACGCCCTCGTCCTTCAGCCTGCCCAGATCCAGAGCGGTCGAGCGCCCTCACCGGTTCTGGAGTTTTGCGCGTGCGTGCATCATAAACGTGGCTGGCAGATCCTTCGCGGATGGATTTCGAAGGTTCGGGGGAGGCCCCCGGAGGCCGAAACATACATTTTACGGCAAGCCGAGGCTCGATCATCGAACCCCGATCTTCGCCAGCTAAGCCCAGGACGAAGGTAAATCGCTCCAGAGCGTTATGGGATGCTCTCGGCGCGTCCCAGGACGTTCTGCGAACGGCAGCGGCGCCCGACACAGATTCCAGACCCGCCAGTTGTCAAATATTCTCGATTCATCTCGATACTGATGTGTCTTCGTCCTGCTGTCGTTTTGCCCCCATGTGCCAACCCGAATGTTTACCTTTTCTCTGCCCGACGTCTTGCCATGGGGGTTCATGCGCCCGGCCGTTTCAGAACAACGGTTGGGTACTGAAGCTGGCCCTTGCCTGCTATGCCAGCGCGCAGGAGGAGGGCAGATGGGACCGAAACGGGAGCACCTCTGAGGAAGGTCGAAAGAGAGTAAGAGTCTTCCATACGACCCTTCGGGACGGAAGCCAGGCGAACAGGACCCATCTGTCGCCCAACTCGGAGTCAGGCGGCGAAGTTCGGCGGGAGGTCCTCGAGGGGCATGTTGCCGCAGACGTTACGTGTAGGGCGAGGCTGCACCTGTGGTCATGGAGGCAGGCGGCACGGCCAGGTTCACAGGCGGCCACGTCGTCGCGCACAGGCCGGCCAACTGCCGCAACTGCTAGGACGAATGCGGTTCGACGGCGTGCTTCGCTCAGGCCCACGAGGACGGTGGCAGACCACTCGTCCAGAACATCAAGTCGATCGTCGCACACGAGCGCGTCGCCAAGGCGAACCAAGGGCGGCGAGTGCACGCCGGACACCCGTTACCAGAAATCATCGAGCCCCTGTGCACCCGTGTCGCCACATGTGTTTCAGGTGCCTCGGGACCAAGCAGTACGGCGGCGCTGAGTTTTGCCACCTAGAGGTCGGGGTGGTTCAGCCTGAGGAGCAAGCAGAACAGGGAGTCGCCGACACAGCAGACCTACGCCATCGAATTTGCCATAGAAGCTGAACACGCGAAGCACAAGAAGGGGCCGGTGGTCCCGCGCGTCAGCTTGAAGAATATCTACGAGGCCATCTTGAAGGACGAGCGTTTGGGGGCTGCGGCTATCTTCGCGATTGTCCTCGCTGGGGACCACCACATAGCGCGCGCGCCCGCGCTGCAGGACCGCCCCCCCCCCCAACGCCCCCGCGGAAGGAGCGGGCGCGCTGCGCGGTGGCGGCGCAGGAGGGCGAGCCAGGGGGCACCGCCACAGGGGGGGGGGGCACTAGAGTTGCGCGCGCATGAGCAGCGGCCGCAGGCGGTAGGAAAAGGGCGCCGACGCGCGGGAGCACCGCGCCGCGATCTTCCCGTCGCATTCCATCATCGAGAAACGCGGCGCGGAGCGACGGGGGGGGCAAGCACGAGCACGGCCTGGAGGACCAGGCGGGGACGTTACTTCGGCCTCGGCGCCCCAGAGCAGGAGGGCAGCCTGGCGGCGCTGAGGGCGGCCAAGCTGGCCACCGCCATCTCCGCCATCAAGGGGGGGGGATCTGCCTGCGCGGGCCGCTGGAAAAGGAGCTCGGCGCGTCCGCGGGCGCCGCTGACTCCAGCAATTATCGAAGAGCCCCACAAGAAGCCCATCGAGCACGCGCCCACTTTCTCGGAGGAGAGGCCCACCGCGGATATGGTCAGGGAGCTACAGGCCCTCGCTTACTGCGAGGGCTCGCGCCTAGGTTCACGGGCAACCGCCGCGCATTCTGCCCGCCCGCGGGCCGTCCAAGTCTGGGCGCCGCAGACCGCGATGGGGCGCTCGACTGCCCGCCCCCGCTCTGCGGGGATCTCGGGCTCCGCGGGCAGCCCGCAGATGGGCAGTCAAAGGGCCGCGCCAGGGGCTGCGCGCGCATCGGCACCGAGCGGGCGCGCGCGCGCGCGAGGAGGGCGACGCGCGGATTCTCCACGCGCGCGCGGCGCCCTGCGGCCCGCGGCGATCGCGCGTTTCACCGACTGCGCGCACGCTGGGGCTGCCGATCTGCGGGGCCGGCAGCGCCTGCCCAGGCGCGGCGCGCCGTGGCGGGGTCGGGGCGCGCGGCGGGCCTGGGCCTGAGCGCCGAGCTCTTCACTCCGCCGAAGCCCAACAGGTCGTCGCGAACGTGGAGACGCTCGTCGGCGCGGGCGGCGCCAGCAAGAGCCGGCCGACGCGCCCGTCCCTGATGGGGGCGGGCGCGAGCGCGAGCAGGGGCGGATCTCCGCGTGGCTCTCCCGCGCGGCGGCCCAGCCCGCGCGCTGGCGCGCGCGCCCTCCCCCCCCCGGGCGCGGCCGCGCGCCCGGCGCAGCGGCTCGCGCAGACCCGCGAGCGCGGGCGGAGCCTGCGGACGCGCGAGTTCGAGGGCGAGATCAACTGCAACACCGCCGCCACCCCCACGGCATATCCAGCGCCCAAGGGCGGGGGGGCCAGGCTGATCGGGGCCGGACTGCGGGCGATCTCCCGCCCGCGAGCCAACGACCGGCCCGCGGGGCAGCCCGCCGGCGCCGACGATCTGGGGGCGATCGGGGCGAGGCTGCGCGGGAGGTTGGGCAACGCTATTCATGATGGCCTTTCTCTGGTCTTCGGCGCCCCAGCGCACCCGCGGCCCGGGGCTGCCTCGAGGCGGGCGGGCGAGGGCAGCTCGGGCAGCGGCGCGGCGCGATGGGGGCGGTGGAACGCGGTGCCATCCACGGGGGCGAGAGGGCGGCAGGCTTGGGGCGCGTCTCGGGGCGCTGGCCCCTGTCCGGGAGAGGCCGCCCCCGGGGGCCGGCGCGCGCCCGGCTCGCCGGCGTCGCGAGGGCAAGAAGGAGGCCGCCGTGCCGCGGGTGGTCAGGCCCGCGCCGACGAGGATCAGCAAGCGCTGACAAGGGGGCGCTGATTAGAATGGAGGCGCCCAGCAAGTTCAAAACCGACTCTTCAGCCCTCGGGGGAGCGGGGGCCGCGCGAGAAGGCGCTGGTCCTGGACTGCCGACCGTCTACCGCGCGAGGGGAAGCAGAAGGTAGACGACCCCAGCAACGCGAAGACGGACTTCGACGAGTCCCATCGGGGCCCGCGCGTCGGCAGGGGACTTGGGGGCGCGCGCTAGACGAGGCGACGCCAGAACTCCGCGGGTCGATCGTCGACGGGGGGAGCAGCCGTCTTGGGGGGGCGCCCGCGCCCGGGCGCGGCCGCGGGGGGCAGCAAGCGACGCGCGCGCTCGTGCCGCGGCAGCAGCCCCGCTCAGCGCGCCTCGGACGCCGTCGCGCGGGCGGAGCTGGAGCGGCTGCAGCGGCGCCCCGGCAGGAGAAGGGCACCGGCGAGGAGGCGGCAGCCGCGGGCCGAGGGCGACCCGGCAGATTGCGCCGTCGCACCGCGGGCACAGCTGCAGCGCATGATCGCTCGGAATGCGCGCCCGCTCAGGGGCCTTCGGCCGATCGCCCTGGCTCGCGCCCTGGGCGGGGCTCGACGGTGGCCTCCGCGCAAGGGGTGTCTCCGAGCGGCGGCGCGGCGCGCCTCGGGATAGTCGCGAAAACCCACCCCCCGGTGGGCCCGCCCGCGGCCGGGGCCCCCAGCCCCCCCCATATCTGCCGCGGGCGGGACGGAGACCCGGGCGGGAAAGGGCCTTCAACCGCGGAGGAGGACCCCTAAGAAGTTGGGCAGGGCTTCGAGATCGCGCCTCTCGGCCCCCGACTGCGGGCAATGGGGCGAGCAGAGGTGGCCGCGTCGCACATGAAAGGGTAACAATTAGCGAGGTGAGAAGACGGTCGGCCCCTCGACGCTCGCAGCGCTCCGGGGGCGGGGGGGGGGGGGGCGGGCGGCGCCCCCCTCTCTTCCGCGGGTCTCTTGTTCCCCGCCCCCTGTTTTTTCTTGTGGCTCGCTCCCAGCGCAATGGGTGTCATCAAGTTTCTGGGGGGGCTGGCGCCCTGCGCACAGGCCCCCCGGCACCGCCACCCTTGAAAAGGAGAGCGCCGTCACCTCATTCGCCCCCCCAGTACCGCCCGCTATCGCACCGCAATCTGGACTCTGCGAAGATACGCACCCGCGTGCCTACACGAAAGTGCACCCTTTTCCTTGCCCGACGTATGTGACCATTTGGGTTCAGGCGCTTGGCAGTTTTAGAATGTCCCCCAACACCACCGTAGGGCATCAAGTTCCTGGGAGGCCACGTGGGTATACGCTTCGATATTTTCGATCTTTCCCCCAGAGGCCGAACATGATAGCCTAAAGGATCTTGGTCTTCGAGCGTAGATCCTTTACGCGTGATCATCATTCGAACCTCGCTCCTCGCTCCTCGCTCTGTCCTACTCGATATGTCCGGCCTCTTGGATGTTATCCTTCCTCTGTGTCCTCGATCTTCCATCCTCGAAATCCTCATTCCTCAGTGTCCCCGACATCACTTCGGTCGTCGCAACCCTCGAATTTCGATCCTCGCTGCCCGATTTCCCCGGCATCCTCGCTCCCGACCCCCCACCTTCAGTACCGTCGGTCTCCGACGAGGGGCGGTTCGGGGCGGGGGGGGGGCAACACGGCCACGATAACCACCAATGGGTGCCCAGTCCCCACCCCCTGCAGCCCCTTTTTTTTATTCTGGAGAAGGAGGAGGAGGAGGCGGAGGAGAAGAAGAAGGAGAAACAAAGGAGAACAAACAAGAGGAGGAGAAACAAGACGATAACAACAAACAAAAGAGAAATATGATGGTAACAAACAAGGAGGAGCAGGAGGAGGAGGAGCAGGAGGATCATCAGGAGGAGGAGCAGGAAGAGGAGGAGGAGGAGGAGGAGGAGGAGGATCAGGAGGAGGAGGAGGAGGAGGAACAGGAAGAGCAGGAGCAGGAGATGAGGAGCAGGAGCAGGAGCAGGAGCAGGAGATGAGGAGTAGGAGGAGGAGGAGGAGAAGAAGAAGGAGAAACAAAGGAAAACAATCAAGAGGAGGAGAAAAAGGACGACAACAACAAACAAAAGAGAAGTATGATAACAAACAACCAGGAGCAGGAAGAGGAGGAGGAGCAGGAGGATCATCAGGAGGAGGAGGAGCAGGAAGAGGAGGAGGAGGAGGAGGAGGAGGAGGAGGATCAGGAGGAGGAGGAGGAGCAGGAGGAGGAGCAGGAGCAGGAGCAGGAGCAGGAGCAGGAGATGAGGAGAAGGAGGAGGACGAGGCCGAGGAGGAGGAGGTGGAGTCGCCTAAGCACGTTGTTGGATTCGCCCAGGAGTCGCCAGGATCTGGGCTCGATCGATCCCCGAGGGCCGCCCGGCCCCGGGGGGGGGGGGGGTAGGGTGACGTCATGGTGGCTTTCTTGCCGTCCGTGGGCCCGCGGAATACGAGGAAAACGACAAACGTATTCCAGGAGGGGAGAAAACACACAGACACAATTAATCGTCGACTCCCAGGAACACATGGGAAAGTATGGGAGGTGGGGGGGAAGACAAAAACACAGAAAATACAGGAAAATATGGGGAATCCTTTTATTTGTGTGCATTTATTTGTGTGTCCCAGGGCCCCTTCAGTATTGCATGTTCGGTATTCGGCTCCCCCCTCCTCCACTTGGCGGCAGGCACCGCTACTCTGCGCCCTTCTATAGCACTCTGCCGAGCTTCTACTTCAAGCCCTTCCTTGCCCGCACGGGCCTGCCGCCCAATTCACCCTCGTTCCCCACTATGACCGAATGTTGCTGATGCGCCCGCTGAACGATACATCCTCGATGTTTTAGTATGCCCGGCGCAAAAGGAAAGAGTCGGAGGACGAGGACGAGGAGGGAAAAAGGGAAGAGGAGGCGAATAATGAGGAGGAGGAGGAGGAGGAGGAGGAGGAGGAGGACCAGTGTAAACCCAAGAATCATCAACGATGTTGGAATTAGCCCTCCCTCCAAACTCCCTCTCCATAGGCCCCTACAACGGTTCATTTCCACTGAGGGAACGAATTGCCTCTTTCTTTGGAAGACAACCGTTTGAAGACCCTGAAGCATGCCAAAACATTGCTTTCGGGATTTCAACGTCACAGATCAACCTGATTTCTGCGTCTTGACGATCCGGAATCGTGCCATATCAGTTTTTCTATAGGAATTCAACACCGCGAATCAACATTGTTGTTGCATTCGCATAATCTGGAATCCTTCCATAACGCCGCTTCTGGTACGTTGGTCATGGGAAGCCGTGAAACTCTTCCAGATGTTTGGAAAGAAAGCGCGGCGCAAGTGCGAGAGCCACATTTGGAAGAGGCGCCGCCCTTAATCCGTGCAATCCTTGCTAATGGTTAAAAACCAATGTGCGCGGCGCCAAGGCGAGAGCCACTAATCCGTGAAGTTTTTTTGCAAATTTGGGATAACGAATGTGCGCGGCACTCAGGCGAGAGCCACATTTTGAAAAGGAACCGCCCTCAATCCGTGAAACTCTTGCACATGTTTAAAGCGAATGTGCGGGGCGCTGAGGCGAGAGCCACATTCTGAAAACCACCCGCCCTCAATCCAATGATTGCGCGCGGCGCTGAGGCGAGAGCCACATGTTGAAAACCACCCGCCCTCATTCCGTGAAGCTCTTGTAATGTTTAAGCGAATGTGCGCGGCGCTAAGGCGAGAGTCACATTTTGAAAACCAGCCGCCCTCCTGCGAAACTGTTGCCACTTGCTTCAGCGGAATAAATGGTAAGGAAGTCTCCGGCGAAACGCCAGGCCCGCCCTGAAACCTTGCCTCGGGGTGCGGCAGGGAGAAACTATTTATATGGAGAAGAATGGGG